GTACCGGTGCGTCATAGTGACTTTTAAAGGAATTTATAGGGTAGGGTATATACCCCCACCTATCGGATTTATGTACCCAATTTCTTTTCTCCTCCTCCTCCTCCTCCTCCTCCTCCTCCTCCTCCCGTCGCTGCCTCTACCTCTGTTCACTGTCTTACCTAGAGCTGAGAGATTCTAGGAGGGAGGAGAGAGAGAGGGAGGGGTGAAGGGAATTGTGGAGAACACAAGAGGATACGCGAAGCAAAGAAGGTAGTTGGTAACTTCGAGAAAAGAATTTTCTGAGACTCTCCTGCAAAGAATCGCAACATGGAAGAATGCTGAAGCAGCGGGAGATATGATAGCTAATTAGTCATCATCCGGTCTGGACTATTGTAAGAAGGAAACAGACTGTAGGGCTCCGTACAGCTCTCAAAAGCAAGCAGGATTATGGACGTAAGTGTTGTATACACAACACAGAGATTGTCAACGACACGAGTAAAGTAAGGACGAGAGAAGTCAAAGCATGCGATGAAATGAACTGGTCAATCAGCATCTGCAAGACAGGTACAAAGGATTGTGAATGGAAGGTTTAGAAGAGCGACAGCACGTACTTCCTCGTTGATCGATGTCGCTACTTGTGCCCCTAAGCATTACTGCTAAAATAATTCATCATCACTTACAACCATTTCGTCGTGGTTGTCGTCCTATGATCGCCATCACAATCGTCTCGCAAATCCTCCTTGTCATAATAATCTGAACAATTCTACGTCTACAGGTCTACGTCTTGAAACCAGATCTTACTCCACATCCGACATCCCACATGAACATCCTCTATTCCAATCCTACATTCACATCCCACATCCACATCTTACATCCACATCCTACATCCACATCCTACATCCACATCCTACATCCACATCCTACATCCTATATCCTACATGAGCATCCTCTATTCCAATCCTACACAGACATCCTACATCCACATCCTACATCCACATCCTACATCCTACATCCACATCCTACATCCACATCCTACATCCTATATCCTACATCCACCATCCTACATCCATATCCCACATTATCATCCTACATCGACATCCTACATCGACATCCTACATCGACATCCTACATCGACATCCTACATCCACATCCTACATCCACATCCTACATCCACATCCTACATTCACATCCTACATTCACATCCTACATCCACATCCTACATGCACATCCTACATGCACATCTTACGTTCGTATGCTACATCCACATGCACATCAACTGGCACAACCATCATCGTTCTTCGACCGCTCAATGATGGTGCGTTGATAGAATACCGGGAAGGTTGGCAGACCGGTTGACAGACACTCAAGGAACAATCGCAACATGGTCAAAATGATGGTCAAACTAGATAGGGATGAAAGAAAGTCTTTTCAGTTTTACAACAGGAGAAAGTATCTTTTCTCGCACTCTTTCGATCTCAGCCCCGATCAGCAATTTGCTTAGAACCTCTTAACATTTAACCAACATAAAAAAAATATCTCGGTGCATCTATGTCACACCGTGGCACCCTACCACCAGGATCAAGTTTTGTGATTCATACCTCCCCTATCCCCTTCAACTACCCCACTCATTACGATCTTGTTCACCACCCACTCACAGAATATCCTGTGGTTCTGACCTTTCTACCACCCCTACCCCCTCGGCCTAGAGCTCTGCCTCTGAGATCACCCCCACCTCTTGATTGTCGAATTGTCTGTCACATTCGATCACGGCATTCAGTCGAAGTGTGGACCCCCCTCTCTTACCTTTAAACTACCCTACCCACCAGTTTGAGCTCTTTGGGTTATTTCCGCGCAGTAAAGAAGATTCGATAAGATGCTATTTCACATCTCGAAATATCAGCTTACCAGAAGCGATTCAAATATACATCGTTTCAAATCGAGATATCTCTCCGAATAATGCATTTATAAAGACAAGAACTAAGGGGGTTGTTGGGTGGCCCTTACACCCCCTTTGTTGTAGTACTAAATACCCGTACTCGTTAGTCTCCGACTACCCCCACCCCACTTTATCGGAGGCGTCTCCCTCTCTTTTAGGCCGTGGCGTCTCCTGACAGCACGCACAAAAAAATTCGTCTGCCCCTACTCCTCCTCCTCCTCTGCTGCTGCTGCTGCTGCTGCTCCTCCTCCTCCTGCTCCTGCTCCTGCTCCTGCTCCTGCTCCTGCTCCTGCTCCTGCTCCTGCTCCTGCTCCTCCTGCTCCTGCTCCTCCTGCCCCTCCTCTCCTTCATTTCTTTTCCTCATCAAGCATAATCGCCTCGGTTGTTTTTTCAGGATTCCTGTAAACAACTACGCTTTGTTCTCCAGTTGACCTCTTGGCGACGATGAACCAACTAAAGGACAATCCCATCCTCCGGCCGAACCCGTTGCATGTTTGGTCTCAACCAGTTTTTAGCCAGCTGCTGGTTTCAAATACGCATGCGATTCAAAACGTCGATGATTCGGCGTTCCTGACCCCAAACGCCCGGCACGACAAACAGGTTGACTATACGACCAGGTCCTCCTCCTCTTCTCCGCACGCAAACAACCATAGCAGAGAGGAAGCGAACCATGGTGTCTCCCCCAAGAACCATCCGGACGATCATCACACTTTCAAGGATGGTTTCGTTCACACGGACGGTCCCTTCGTGCGGGTCCTACAGCGTTCAGGCGAGCAGCAGGTGCCGAGTCCTCGAAGACCAGCGGAGCTGACGAAACAGACGCTGCGACCGTACCTTGCTCTGAGTCAAACAGAGGCAGCCAGGTCACTGGGCATGTCGCTTTCTGCGTTCAAGAGGCTGTGCAAGAAGGTCGGGCTGGAGAAATGGCCGTATGCGAGGAGGAAGGGGTCGTCGCAGCTGACGGAGAGGCACAAGGCCAAGCTGCGCCAGTACGAGGACGAGCAGTTCCGCGGAGAAGAGGAGGAGGAGGAGCAGGAGGAAGAGGTAGCGGAAGTAGAGGAGGAGGAGGCCGAGCATAGTATGTCTCTCAAGGCAATAGGAGCGTTGCGAGAGGAAGGCTGGTACGACAAAGAACTCTTTGAGGAGGCGATGTTTCATATCCAGTTAGTGTGAGGGGGACAAAGGAGCTTACCGGGCAAGTGAGAGAGCTCGGAGCACCGCCTGTTGGTTCCGTGTTAACTGCTACTGCCCCAAGGCATCATACATGAAGCTTCTTTGTCGTCTCACTTTGGGGTGACTGAGTGGCCTTGTGAGTCTGGAGGAGTTGTTGGTGACAAGTATTTTACCGTTGGATGCCGGGGGATGTACAGGACAGTGTTCAATGATAAGGGCAACTATTGCTTCATTGTTGAGTTTTTGGATGAGAGCTAGAGGGTTGTAATGTGATACTATCTCTCAATGAAATTTGTTTCTATTAGATCAATCGGTAAAGCAGCAGTGCGGCAAACCATTCTTACCCTCTCTGAACGCAGGCTTGAAAGTTCAAACCGTCCTGAGGCTCGGAACTTGAACTGGCGAGTCCTCGCGGGGCAACTTCCCCGCCTGGCAACAGGCAAACTGTGGCGAATCCAATGACGCTGCAATTACCGTAGTAGTGAAAGCCAGGGGCCCTCCAACATACTATGCGGCCACCCCGGCCCGAGTCGCTGCTCGGACTCACACCGTCACTGCAAAGAACAAGGAGTCGAGTCACAGTGTCGAAACGTCGGACCGGGACTCGGACCGTAGTAGCGGCGGGCCCGGGGCGTGCTCGTGACTTCCGAGCCTTGGCCGGGTTCCAGAGTCCGAGCCGCCTTTGACTCCCGTCAGTGAGTACCGGAGTCCGTCTGAAAGGCCCACACTGGCAAGGCACCCCGGCACCATCACATGATTCGGATCGGACCACTGAGCTGCCACGGTTAAGCTCAGTCATGCAGCCCGCGCCCGTCGGCGTCAGAGGCTCACTGAGGATCAGCCGAGTGGGACCGCCCAGCCGGGCCCGCGCCCGGCCCGGCCGCCTCCGAGTCAGGGCCGGGGGCCGCCGGGTCGGGGCCGGGGCCCCGTCCGAGGTTCCGAGGCCCGGCCGTTAGTTTGCTCAGACCTCTGATAGTAGTTAGGTCCCTCACACCCTCCTTCCTGCTTCCTCCCTCCCTCCCTCCCTCCCTCCCTCCCTCCCTCCCTCCCTCCCTCCCTTCTTCTCGGACTCTCCTCGTGCATCCTACATGGGGGACAGTCGCAGGCACCTTCCGGCAATTCCCTTCGGTTGCTTGGCGAGCACGTCAGAGCTGGCGCTGGGGCAGACATGGGCGAGAGGAGAGCACGAGAGGATGAAGATGAAGATGAAGAGGAGAGGAGAGGAGAGTCAACACCTCCTCGCCAGGCCCTCCTCGCCCTCTCACCCGCCCTCCCATGCTCATGGCCTGTTGCCGCACGAGTGCAGGATAGGAGACAAGGCGAGAGAAGGAGGGGGAGGAGGTTGAGCTGACAAGGAGCAGGTTGTATGTCCTGCCCGCGACAATTTCCGCTTCGCAATCCCTCAGGTCGACGCGCTGACGATGCACGTGGGCTGAGAGGAGAAGCAGGCAGAGCGAGAGCTGATGGAGGCAGAGAAGCAGAGGGAGCCGCTGGAGAAGATCATGCGAGGACCGTGGGAGGTGCAAAGAAGGTGAGGAGGGGAGGGGAAGGGAAGGGAGGGGAGAGGAGAGGAGAGGAGAGGGAAGGGAGGGAGAGGAGAGGAGGGAGAGGAGAGGAGAGGAGAGGAGGGGAGCGGAGCGGAGAGGAGTGGAGGGGAGAGGAGATTGGCTTCATTGTAGGGCACCTTGTCAAGGAACTTTCAGAGTGTTCCGCGCAGCTCTCATACTCTCTCTTTGCGCTGGAGCAAGGGCTGATGGACTTGACGGGCAAGCAGACGGCCGGTGTGTCGGTGCTAGAGTTTGAGGAACAGGTTGGAGGAGAAGCTCTACAGAAACGTGTGGAC